AGACTGGTTGGGCAAACTCCCAGAACCCCTCCAGTAGTCTTGCGAGGGTAAAGAGCTGGTCCACTGTTCCACGGCGGATCCGCACTGCTCCTCTTGAATCTGAGGTTCGACAAGCGGTCGGAGCCTCCTTTCCAGCACCCTGGCATAAGCCTTCCCCGGTAGGCTGAGTAGTGTGATACCCCGGTAATTCGAGCACACTCTCCGGTCCCCCTTTTTGAAAATGGGAACCACCACCCCGGTCTGCCATTCCATGGGCACTGATCCCGACCCCCATGCGACATTGAAGAGGCGTGTCAGCCAGGACAGCCCAACCATGTCCAGCGCCTTCAGCATCTCAGGGCGGATCTCATCCACCCCCGGCGCCTTGCCACCAAGGAGCTTTTTAACTACCTCAGCGACCTCTGCCAGGGATATGAGTGAGCCTCCCCCTAGATCCTCAGGCGCTGCCTCCTCTGCAGAGGACATGTTGGTCGGGTTTAGGAGTTCCTCAAAGTGCTCTTTCCACCGCCCGACGATGTCCTCCGTCCGGGTTAGCAGTTCCCCCCCCCTGCTGAGAACAGACTGGGGTAAGCCCTGCTTTCCCTTCCTGAGCCGTCGGATGGTTTGCCAGAACCTCCTTGAGGCCAACCGAAAGTCCTTCTCCATGGCCTCCCCGAACTCCTCCCATGCCCGAGTTTTAGCATTCGCGACCACCGCAGCTGCAGCCCTTCTGGCCTGCCGGTACCTGGCAGCTGCTTCAGGAGACCCCTGGGCCAACCAGGCCTTGAAGGTCTCCTTCTTCAGCTTGACGGCTTCCCTCACCTCCGGTGTCCACCACCGGGTTCTCGGGTTGCCGCCACGACAGGCACCGATGACCTTCCGGCCACAGCTCCTAGCGGCCGCGTCCACAATAGAGGCTTTGAACATGGTCCACTCGGATTCCGTGTCCCCAACCTCCCTCGGGATGTGTGAGAAGTTCTTCCGGAGGTGGGAGTTAAAGACCTCCCGGACAGGGTCCTCCGCCAGACGTTCCCAGTTCACCCTCACTACACGTTTGGGACACGCTGAACACGCTGGAGAGATTACATCTCCCAGCTGGCCTGGGAACGCCTCGGGATCCCCCAGAATGAGCTGGAACATGTTGCCGGTGAGAGGGAGGTCTGGGTCGCCTGCTTGGCCTGCTGCCACCGCGACCCGACCCCGGATAAGCGGTGGAAGATGGATGGATGGATGGATTTCAAGAAGTGTATTATGTAAAGCAGCTGAGGATTCAGCTTTGACTCGTGTACAAATGTAGAATACACGATCTCCAGCGATGAAGGAAATTCTCAAACTCATATTTGCTTTCAAGAGCAAAAAGTGAGTAATATTTAAAAGTTTAGGTTAGATCTCATCCTGACAGCCCAACAGAATATGCATAGTATTTATAACTTGTTTTTATACATTTTTTTATACTTTTAGTTATAGCTGCTATTTGAAAAAATACTCAAAAATGAACGTGAATGGAAACAAATGTAAATGTATATATTTGGCATGTATTCCTTAAGTTTGCATGACAGTGTGACCAGATGTCTTTGCTACAACTAATGTCAAACCGTATAATCACAGCAAACCTACAAACTAGGAACAGTTTGACCACTTTAACAGCTACCTGCAGTTACTCGGTATCACCGGTAGACGGTTCCGTGAGATCGGTCCGGCGGACAGGCAGTCAGGCAATCGGTCGGTCGGTGTTCTGGCATCAAGCGGCGGCGGGGTCGGCAGCAGCAGCAGCAGCGTAGGCGGACCGGTAGACTACAGTCACACCGACACTCTGAGCCGGTGCGGCAGGCGGACAGCGGCAGTGGACCAGGAGGGCAATTCATACGGAGCAGCAGTTTCATTCAGCTGCTATTTGACATCTTTACGGGACGCGAACACCGCCCCTCGCTCACATCTGGAGCTCGCGCTCGATGGTGAAACTACTCTTCCTCGCGCCCCGCGTCATGCGTAGCAGGGACAACTTATGAAGTGACCCGGCGTTAGCAACTCACCGGTGGAGCTGTCGGTGCGGTGCCGGGCTGCAGGAACCGGACTCGGTTGGAAGGTAAGCGTAGAACCACTGTGTGTCATACCGAGCCTCGTCACTTCTCACGCCGGCTGACAGTCTCTGACACCTCGCTGTTTGCACGGCGGGTTAGCACCGGGCTGCCAGCATCTCGTCCTCAGTGCAGGTATGCAGGTCGCTGCAGTACACGTTGGGGTGCTCAGGGTGGGGTCCCCCCCCCAGCCTCGCGGGGGAGACCCATGGGTGACAGTGTCAGTTAATGAGTGACGTGTACTCAGCTGTAGGCTACACATCTGGAGCGGCGTCCAAGCCGCTCAAATTCATGTTCTTGTGAAGTCTCTGGCTATTGTCATGACAGGAGTCAAACAGGATTGTTGAAAGTGAGAGGAACAAGTGTGTGTGTGTGTGTGTGTGAGTGTGAGGCTTTACTCTCCCTCTGTTTAAATAGGGTCTTTTTGACAGGGGGTAGATTTAGATGAAATCTTGTTTTTTCTCCTTCCCATGATTCACCTTGTTTTATTGATGCCTTGCTCTATGGCTGGAAGGGAACTGCGTGGGGAGCTTCACCAGTGAGGGATGTGTGTGAGAGAAAGAGAGCTATAAGGCGTAACTCTCGTGACCCACAGGCAACATCCCCTCTATATATTGTACTACAAAATGCTGTAGTACATCAGGTTGCATGCACGTACAGTACACGACGTGCACGCACACAAGTTGTAAGAGAGATGAATTGATTTGAGAGAGCTGCTGAGATGAAAGGGGGCAGTTTTGGTTGCTGGCTGTGCAGAAACGCCACGGAGACAATTAAACTACTGGCCCGTGTCATCGAGGGTTTGTTTTGGCTTCCTGTTTGGAAAGATAGGAAGCAGACTCTTGGGCCAGATGGCAGGAGCGCACACACACACACACACACACACACACACACACACACACACACACACCTGGAAGAGTACTGGTCCTACTGAGTGAAACAGGATCAGTAGCCAGGGTTTGAACCTGTGACATGCAGCTGGAGACTCTGTAAGGACCTTAAAGACTCTTCTTCTACACATGACCAGCAATCCGTGACTTTTTTTTAGTGACTAATAATATTGATACACTTTTATTAAAACAAGCACACAGCCGCTCTGTGCAGCAGCTGGAGCAGACCGCTCATTGACTGCAGTCCACTTATGCTGTTGGATCTTGCATATGAAGTCCTGCAGGAATGAGTTCTCAAACCTGAACGTGAGTCAGTATTTTTGCACTTCTGGTTCCTTCGTCTTGATGTCAAGGTCTTTGGTTGACACAAGATTTTAACATTTAGTTCTAGGACCTAAAATATTGAATAAACAATGATTTTGAAGCTTTTACGTGTCTTAACAAGTGCTAACAAGTGGATGAATGAGACTACTAGCGTGCCTTTATGGCCTCGTTGTGTACACTCTATAGTGTGCTAACACTAAGTCTTCGTGTCTTCTGTCAAAAGCTCCTTCAAGGGGGGAGTTTCAGTTCTCATATGATGCTAGTGGGTTGAATGAGTAATTCTAAACTTTGTTTTATTTTGTGAATGAAATCTGAATCTGCAATGCTACCAGCAGCATACTTGTCATATCTAAACATAATAATACATCTATAGCTCTTAGGGGCTCTTAGTAACTGACTATTATTTATATTATTATTTTTATATTTAAACTCGTGAAAAATGCGTAATAGAATTTCCAGAAGCCTGAAGTGACATTTTCAAAAGTCTTGTTTCGTCAGAGATATTCAGTTCACTGTCACGTAAACAAACAAACGGATAAAAACATTCAATCTTCTCATTTGACTTTGAGAACTGTAACTAGTAATGTTTGGCATTTTTAAATGTAAAATTCCATTCAGGTAGTTCCAATTAACATTAAAGATATAGAAAATAGTTTTTTTTAAAGAGGAGTAAAAAGTCAAAACACAGTAAAAGTAGAAATGGTCCTTTAACCGTCCCTTACTGAACCTAAAACTAACCTTCATCATTTTAACTGTAAACTGCTTGTCCTGACTTTAACACTCAAAATTACAAGTGAAAGTGCTTCACATGGTTTGAGGCCGACACACACACACACACTCTCACACACACACACACACACACACACACCAGCACACACGCGCAGCTCTAAACAGGAAGCTGACAACATCCTACAAGATGTAAATCGCTGCTGCGTATAAAAAAGTGTGAACACAGTAGCGTCTGTGAGCACGGTGACATTCTGCAGGTGTGTTTCTGGATGTCTTCGTCTCTCTGCCCCTGGCACACTGAGCCTGCCGTGTTAAAGCTCGTTCCAACAGGCTGGATGGAGGAGCAGCAGCAGTGACACTAGCAGGTTTATTTCTGGGCAGCTGCTCTGAAATGCACCTTCATGTTTAAATGTGGAGAGCCCTCCGCTGCGTGCATCGGGGTGGAAAACTGGCTTGTTTTTTTCCAGGAGCCCTCCAGCATTTTCACAATGCATTTTTTTTTTTGTGCTGTTCGTCTTCCTTGCTTGTGTTTTGTGACACTGCTTGCCACTGCACAAGTAGTTCTTACATTGCTGAAATATCTCGTCATCTATTGGATGAGCTGCTTTTAAATTTTGTTCAGACGTTCACGTTTCCCTCAGGTTGAAGTGAAACAACTCTGGGGACCCTTTAAGCGCCTTCATCCGGTTATATTTAGATTTTCTCCAATACTTTGGTTTATGAACAAATACCTGCAAAACTAGTGACTTTCCCATCAGCCTCAGCTGTACTTTTGTTTTTTTAGTGCTAATCAGTATACATTTGCACGCTTACACACTAACATCAGCTGGTGAACAAGGTAAACATTATACCTGCTAAACGTTAGCATCTGAGCCGTGTTGCTGCGAGCATAAGCGTAATTTGGCCAGACTTGCAGATGACACAATCCTGAAGGAGTGAGAGAGAGAGAGAGAGAGAGAGAGAGAGAGAGAGAGAGAGAGAGAG